GCTGTAAATGAAGCAGAAGCAAGTGACGGCAGCTGGAGGGAAGGAGAAAACCTGTGGAAGGAATTATTTTATCTTGAATTCAAGGAAAGGGGATGCCCATGGGCATGTGCCATGGTGAAATTGTTGATGCAACTGATGACAATCTGAAGCAAAACCTTTGAATAAGGCATAAAGTTGTCTCAAAGAATATAGATTGGTAGACTCATGATGGGTGGACAAGGCGATTTTCATTTGATTGGTTTACTTCTGAATGAAGTAAAAGAGAATTACCATATATGAGTAAGGAAAAAGACTTATGGAGAAAGGGAAGTTTTGAACTCTTCTACTCAAAGAAGGGAAAAATAAATTTGCTAAAGAAATCTATGGGGATTTCTATGCAGGACTTGCTTAGCTTATGTTTATGATTCATGAATAAAGATGAATCCATTCTTTGTATTTGGCTTTCAAAAAGTCATTGAGAATCAGTTGTTCCAGTATAGGACTAGATTGAGCTGATATATGAAGTACATTGAGTTACAGTTTTTCCAGGCTGGTATACATATAAGAAAGAAAAAGAGAATCAATAGTGTTTGCAAGGAAACAATTTATTGGTTGTACTGATGATGATATATCTATGTTGGATGGAGGAGAGAATGAGGATTGTACACAGGCAATTTTGTAGGGTTATGTAGGAAAATATTCTAATATGGCCTCTATTGTCTCAAGCTCTTGTTTGAGTCTCATGATTTTGTACATGAGGTGGCAGAAGAATTGTAAAGATGTAAGTAACTTTATTAAGTTATTGATTTTAAGATAGGAATATTGTCCACATGGGTATAAGTTAATCACATGAACTCTTTTCGACATTCTGGCAACATGTCATTAATTTAATCAATATTTGCATGCAGATTAGAATGTAAAGTTTTTCCCAACACCCCTATGTCCCCCCAGGCATGCTCCTTTGATAACAGGGACAGATGAGTGGGCCCAGGGGAAGAAGAGCATCTCAGCTCTCATAGGGGTTGACCCCTTGGAGCCACTCTATCTTCCAGGATCTCTGACTGATGGAAGATTGTTGGCAGATCTTCCTGGATTTTGTTTTATGACTATGGACTGAATCACATGAACTCTTTAAAAAATTTAAAAAAAAATTTCCCTGACTGATTGAAGAAGTAGAATTTGGAGAGATTCCAAGCATGAGAATGATTTGATGCACCATTGTTGAGTGGAGTAAATATTTTATGAGAGTGTGTGTAACCTATGAGTTACAACCGACCCTCAGCTAAAAGCTAACAATGAAGTGGGAACCTCAGTCATTCAAGCACAAGAAACTGAGTTATTCCAACAACCTCAATGAAATTATAAATGTATCCTTCTCTTCTCCAGAGTCTTCTGATGAAAGCTCAGTCCAACGGAAACACTGATTGTAGCTTTCTGAGTCTCTATTCAGGGAACTCAGTTACATCTGCCTGTGTTTCTGATCTACACACAAGAGCTTATCAAGGAATTTTGTTTTAAGTCACTGTTTTTGTGATTATTTGTAATACACCAATGTAAAGCAAAAAGGGAATGCAGATTTTATTGAAGGAGGAAGATTGATGTAATGATATGGAAGAAGTATTCAAAGTATCAATAGCTTGAAATTAAATTGTGGAGATGATACTGATATTGGTGATGAAAATAAACTTAGGGTATAAAAATGTGAGATATTGAGATATTAGGAGATAAATCATTTAGAAAATAGGAGGAAAAAAAGAACACTTTGTTCACCTAGAGTGAGAAGAATGAACATGATGTCAAACCTTGAGGTTCTATATCATCCATTGTCTACTCCCATGCCAAATCCTCACCCCATAAAGTTACACCTAAATTTCAGTTCCTTAGATGTTGTGGACCTTAAAGTCTTTATTATTTGCCACGAATACAATTTGTATTTTTATCCCTTCAAAGACATGCTTCAGAAAAATTAACTATTGTGACGATTCTGTGTGTTTGCCTTAAATATAATCTGAAGGTGTGGATTGGATGCTGTTTACTCTGGGATAATCATAATTGGAGCTAAACTGTTTTTGTCATATGTTTGAATATTATTTCTGATTCTAAGCCAATGTTTATGAAAATAAAAACATTAACAAACCTTCTAAATATCTAATATCTCCAATACTATGCATTTTATTTTTCCTACTTAAATTTATCATCATTAGTTAAATAATTTATCTTATTTCAATAAATACCCATTTCATCAATCTTGTCAACCAGGCCTCTGTTACAAAGGGAGGTGCACTTTCTGTGTCCCTATTGTTTGTTCTCCTAACTGACCTATCTTTAATATCCTATAATTACTTTCATGTTCCTACTTTGGAAATACACTGCCTGGCCAGACTGGCTGATTGACTACCTTTGTAAAATCAAACAAGCGATACATAATTTGATTGTAACAAAATTGAGGCACATTGTGAGTATTCATTTTTCTCAAGGGACACCCTGCATAGCAAAAATATATTTTCATGGGTTTAAAAATATTGAGTGAAGTTTGGTCACAGAAATTAAAAATGAAACATAAAGCACATAAACTGCAGATAAATTTGTTTCATTATTTTATCATCACAACTTTCACCGTCATGTCGGCAACAATTGGATGTAATGTTTAGAGACAGACTATATAAAAGTGAAAGAGAATTCATTTTTGCCATGTGGTGAACCTGTAATCCAAAGTTCCCGTCTATAATTCTACGCTCTGGGAGTGCATTGATCTCAACAGAATTATTGTTAAGTTGTACAGAAAGGTCATTATAGCACAAAAGTTGGTAAGGCAAAAATTGGTAAAATGGCTTCTAAGAAACATAGTAATGTATCAGTGGTAAATACATATACCTCTGATACAGCAGTTCTAGGAATGTATTTTATCAATATGCTTGTTTAGGAGACTTAAAGCAATGTTTACACCAGCAGAAGAATGTAACATGTCTGGCACGGGAGCTAGATGAACAAACTGCAGGTATACTGGGTATGCCGTGCATCTGAAGATCATGTGGACCATCTTTAAGGACATCTGTTAAAAGCACAAAAGCAAAATGCAGTAGAATGTGGGTTGAGCTAACATAAGAAACTTTTCTACTTCAAACTCATTTCTAGAAATGCTAGATGTGATATTTTCTTGATATGTTCCCAATGCTGGATGATGGATGAGGGTTTGTGATTCTGTATGTTGCGAAACATTTTCATAATAAAACCAAATTGGCTAACCAAAAAAAAAAAAAAAAGGAAATGATAATAAGACATAAAATAGAATTTCGCTCTGAGAAAAAGAAACAAAGAAATCCTATTGAATAGCCCTGAAAGGTGAAATCTAGCCTGAAGTTGCTTTGTAAGTATGTGTAACCATTAGATATGGTCTCCTCTTCTTTGGAAGCCCTGCTTCATGGTGTCATATACTGAAGCTATAAATATTCAGTATTACCAAAAATATTACACTAAGTTCAAGTGGGTTATAATCACAGGACCTACCAGAGTGTTGTGTGCATAAAAGAGACTAAAAATAGATATGCACCCTTATATCCATACGACACATTCTTTTTCCTTTTTGCATTTTGATTGGGTGACTTTAATAAAGTCTGGGTTACTCAAGAAGAATTTGGCTTGCTCTTTCACTTTTTTATTTTTGGTATTTATAATACATGTGTTTTATAACCAAAATGACACATTTTATTTTATTTATATTTTAAAGTGAACAAATTTCATGTATTTCACATATACAAATTTTGAAGTATAATGATGCTTCAAATTCTACCCTCCCTCTCACCCACACTCCATTTTAACAAAAAATACCGACACACATACTAACATACATACTTTTCTTTTTTTATGTATTTTCTTTAAAAAGACTTATTTATTCATGAACTTCCTGAGGTTCCCTTGCATGTTTATTTATTCCATTCTCAGATGTTGTAAATGGAGGTACATTCAGCACAGCAGCTTTGGGAATCTGATAGAGTGAACTCATACTTTGGGTGTGGAGAGGGAATTTTTAAAGTGGGCTTTGCTGGAAGCATAGGAGTTTGCCTGGCGGAGTAACAGCCGGCTTCCGGGGTTAGGGTCACTGATGGTGTCTGTAGAGACACCTCGACATGTGGGAAGTGTAGGCTCCAGCTGGGAGGCAGGATCAGTCCCATGACAGGTGGGAGCCTCAGACAGACATGAAATTCTGGAACTCGGACATTCATAAGCCTGAAAAAGCGTAGGCCTGCTCCCCAGGGAGGAGCATCTTCTCTTTGCCCCCACGTTTTGCCTGCATCTTTAGGGGCTGCTGGATCTCAGTTGACCCAAGAACCTAGGCTCCCGGCGCCAGGTGGGTTGGTCGCCCTGGGAATCCTGCGTGCCCCAGTGCGGAGCAGCGCCTCCCAGGTAAGCCCCGGTGTCCCAGCCCTGGCCCGGGTCCAGGCCGCCCACCCAACCCATCCGGAGCCCCACCTCGGGCGCCCTCCTGCTGGGTCCTGCGCAGCTCCTGGAGCCACGATCATGCCCTCCCCTTGCCTCCTCTGCCCCGCCCCACGCCCTGGTAGCTCTGGGCCGGGAGCGCGGCGGGGTCGCCCGCTGGTCTTGTGCTCCGCCCCGGGGCCCCCAGCGCCCCGGGAGCCGGCCCTGCAGCGCCGAGC